CTTCCATGATTGTCATATTTTTGTTGTATCATAATCTCATTCACAAATATATATTTAGGGTAGAAGGGAAATGACTAACCATTTCTACTTCCAGAGAGTGAGGGAGACAATTACCCACCCCATGGTAACTTTTAGGATCCAACTTCTTCCCCATTAAATATTTGACTCCTTCCCCACTGCTGAGGCCTTCTGTCCTTGATATCACAATTTTGATAGAATGCCAGACAAAATTTTATTTGAAGCACTCGCTTTCTCTTCCCAGAGCCCAAGCACTGTGTGTCTGCAGTACTCCCAACCCACTAGATCAGGGATTGAGAGACCAAGTTCCAGAACAAAATCCTTTTTGGCAAGGTGCATGAATAAACTATTCGATACTGAGCTTCCTCCTTCCCAGTTTTATCTTTTCTGCTACCCAACGATCTAATATTTACATGAGAGTTTATGAGCATTTTTATTTCTTACCACCAATTATATGCCTTTCCAATCCTGATGTATGCACCTACAAGGAATGAGCAGGGTAATTCACAATTCCTCAGAACAACCTAAGGAATCAAAGATACACTAGAAACTGGAGTGGAGGTTGGAAAGCCTCTCTCTCTCTCTAGGATACCTTCCTTTCATTCCATGTAATTATCTACATTAGATATTTATAGACTGCCAAACACCATAGTAATTGTATTTTCCCTCCCACATTACAGCTGCAGCCTGCTATACATAAAGGCAGCACTTGCAGAGATTGAAAGAACCATACAAGATTTTTCTTGGCAATGTTGCTCCATAACCAGCCATTGAAGGACGGTGGAGACTGCAATGCATACTTCCTCTTCCACCCCCAGGATCAGTTATAAACATTTCAGTCCTCCCCCTCCCCTTGATGGTCCATGATGCAAGCCTCTCAAGATCACCCAGAAACCTGTCTCCTATACCTCAACAGTACCATCCCCCTAGTCTGAGACAGATGGCATTCATTTAAATATTGGCCCTAGCATTCTATTTTGCCACTTCATTGTCTGGCTGCCTAACCAACATAAGTGGCTCTGATAGATAATGCTTAAGATTTTTGACATTTTAATGCAACTGTGAACTTACAAAACCTTGTGAAGCCAAAAGAGTAATACAAAGTATATACTGACATGCAAGACTACATCATTACAAAATATGGATGAATGGTTGTCATGGTAACAGTTTTAGAGAGGAAAGAATCCTGCACAAATGCTCAACAACCAGAAGAAATGCTAAATTTACACACCTGGACTTTTCCTTATTTACTATCATTAGTAAGCTTCTTTTGAGTACTGGAGTCATTAACTGACTCTGCACTGTTTTGAATCTGCAGCAGGAACAAAGATACACAGTTTCTATACCTGAAATCTATTCAAGTTTCTCTAAGCATCCTGAGAAATCCCCTATTACTGTATTTGGACAGCTCTATAAACTCTCTTATGGCACTATGCAGCACAGTTTTGAATTACTGGTTTTCATTACTGATGTGCTTTCTAGCAGACCCTGCTGTGCGATACAGTGGTATTACTGGCTGTGGAATGATTGAAAGACATATGGAGTTGCAATATACTCTGTGTATCTATGAACACTCATGATAACGCTCAAAGGAAGAAGGCTGAAAAGTTAAAGCACCACAATCCCCAAATCTCACATACATAAAACATAAATCTTTGCCAGTGACTAAATTCAATATAGAAAAGTTAAAAATAATAAAAATTGAGGATCTGAATCCTGATAAAGGGAGTGGCAAAAAAATATTTCTAGACCTGAGGCCAAAATGTCAAGTAAGCTATTTACAAGAGTCTGAAGGCGCAATGCTGAGAGAAAAATCTGTATTTCTATTCACTGATGGAACAGGAGCAACATTAGCAGAGAAAGAAATGGTGAAAAGGAGGAGGAGGAGGAAAGAGAGAGAACTTATTTAAAGGATTTTATAATCTATAACAAAACATACAGAGGTATTGAAAGTGATACTGCAAAACAATTTTCTAGTTTAAAGAGTATAAAGTAGTTTATCATCAAATTTTTGGCATACTTAAAATTATCAAGAAAGACATGTCCTAAGAATTGTACAATATACATTAAATTAATCCAACTACATTCACTAAGGAAGTAAAGTAAAACACAATCCCCACCATTTTAGGAAGGCCCTAAAAATGCGTAATTTCTACCTGTTGATTATGCAGTTAACGAACATATCTCACTGATAAGTTTTATACATCCTCAGGAACATCATCCATACTACTGATGAGGGCTTTTATTTCTGGGTGCCTGGTCTGAATGCAACCTGAGTCTGTAGTGACCAAAAGCCATAACTAATTGACAGACGATGAAATAAGTTGTGTATTTGTATTACCATGGTGTTTAAGAGCGCCAATCCTGGACCAGGACTGCCATTGTGCTAGGTACCATGCAAACAAAACAAAAAGATGGTGCCTGCTCCAAAGGGCATACTATCCTAGCCTAGGACAAGAGACAACAGATGGGGGAGTATAAGCAAACAACGAGAAGATATTGGTCAGCATGATAGGCAGTGGAATCAGCACACCAGCAATCTAACTGTTGTGAAGTTTTTTGTAGGCAGCACAGCAAAGGAGAGTTTTAAGGAGGGATTTGAATGAGGAATGCCTCTCAAGCATATGAGGCAACATGAGAGAAAGCACAAAGATGCTTGTTTGAAAATTTAACTAGTGGACAATGAAAGCTGGTGTCATGGGCCACTCAAGAGGTGAGAACTAAAATTTCATTAGCAAATGAGCAATGATAGGTAGGGTTGGGGTAGGCTGTGAAGGGCCTTGAAAGCAAAGACAAGTGGCTTATGTGTTTGATGTAATAGAGAACAGGGCTAAGAAAATGATCTTTGCAGCAGCATTCTGAATGGATACAAGAGGGGCAAAATTGCATTTGTCAAGGACAGAGAAAAGGACGTTGCAGTAACTGAGACGCGAGATGATGTGTAGATGAAAAGTAGGCATTTCAGAGATGTTACACAGAAAGAAATGGCAAGATTCAGACATATCCTGGATGTGAGGACAGAGGTCGGAATTGAAAATGATCTCCAGGTCACACAGACCCGAGTGACAGGAAGGAAGGTGGTGTTGTCAACTGTGATCAATAAAGGAAGGGGTGGGGGGAGATTAAGAGCTCTGTTTTAGCTATATTAAACTTGAGCTAATGGCTAAACATCCACGAAAAGATGTCAGAAAGACAAGCAGAGATTTTAGATTGGACAGAAAGAGACAAGTCTGGAGAAGAGAGATAGATATGTGAGCCATCAGGATAGACATATTAGCTGAACTTTTGTTTGTGGATGAGATAACCCAGAGATAAGGTGTAAAGGAAAAAGAAACAATAATCCACCAAAGGACATACTGAAGGAGCAAACAGCAATGAAGAAGGAGAACCAGGCGAGGACAGAGTCACAGAAGCCAAGGAGGATGAGATTTCAAGAAGAAGAAGAAGATGGTTGGCTTTGTAAAAGGTGGCTGACAGGTCAAGGAGGAGGAGAATGGAGTACTGCTTCTGAGCTTTGGCTATGAAGAGGTCAAGACTTTGATGAAAACAGTTCCAATGATATGCAACAGGTGGAAGGCAGCCTGGAGAGGATTCTGAAGGAACTGGAGAAGAGGAACTCCAGACAGCGAACAGTGATCTTGGTATATATGGTGCTTATTGCACAAAACTGGCATGAAGAGCTCTGCTTACAATGTGCCCATGACATGAAGGACCATCTCTTTCCAGAACAGCTTTGTTCCACTAGAAAAACGGAACTGTAAACCAACAGAGGAAGCCAGGCCAAGATCATGGTACTCACTGCTAGATAAAATGAGCGCTAATCTTGCTGCACTGAGATGAATGCAAAACCTACCCCTCTGTCTAGGCTTCCTTCAATGACACTCTTACACCAACACTCCTGATCTTCTATATTCGGTTTTAAAAAACTAAGCCTGCCTCTTGCTCACTGCAAAAGAGTTATTGTTCTTATTCTTCGGAAGTGCTTGGGTACTATGATGAGCACCAGTATCAGACCCTAGATAAATTAAATGACTGTCACATGCACACAATCTAGCACTCTCATTGTCAGCCTCAGCAAAGAAGCCAATGTATGAATGGGCATGAAAACCAAATTAGCCCTTCCTTCCTAAAAGGTAAACCTCCCAGCTTAGTGCTGAAATACATCAGCAGATGGCAGTGTAACACTGCTCTCTTCTGAACCTGTTCTGAGAAGACTCCATGGCTATCAAGTTGCAATGGAATTTAGTGCTGGTGAAAGCTAACAAATTAATCATTCTTTAAAAAAAAATATTATTTTTATGTGTGTATATATATACATATATATACACACACACACACAGCATTCACTGAATTCTGTTCTCAATTCTGTGCCTAATTATTTCATGCTATCAGTTTAAGATTTGAAAACAAGCAAGAGGTAATATCAGCACAGTCTTGGTGGACGAAAGAAAATGTTGCTAAGTGATAACGTTTGCATTGTGTCAAATGCTACCGAGTCATTTCTGGCTAAGTTAAGGTAATGATTCCCACATTTGTTCAATGTCAGGGGCCAAAGGGACAGTGAAAAAGCAGCAGCAAACTTGTTAAAACCCCTTGTCACATGCTGGATATTTATAGTAGAAATGACGTAAAATGCAGCCAAAGGTTACGTACATTAATTAATGGTTTTCAAATTTTAAAAACCAAAACTTTTGAATCGCAGTTTCCTCCACATCTGTGGAAAATATTTTACTGTCAATTTATTACAAAAATAATTCCATGTTCAAAAAACCTCCATTAGAGTGCTCTCAACATCTTCAGTATAACTAGTTTTCAATGTCTACTTTTAAGGCCTCATAATTTATTAGTGTACTTATGCATTCCACAAACACAAGTGACATTTTCTCCCCTAGCAGCATATATTTTAATTTGCCTTTAACATCAATAAAATAAAGCAGCATCTTTTTTTACGTCAGTTACTTCCAAGTATCATGGTTCCCTACCTTGGAGCATTTCTCCAATACTTCCTCCTTGAACTGTAGAAATTTTTCCTGAATCGCAGGCTGGTTGAGAGCAATGGACAGGAAGTGTGTGAATGGCTGCTTCTTGCGGAAACTCTCAGCAAGAACATCAATCCGTGTTCGGGCTGAAATGACACCACTACGCTGCTGTCCAGTAATCACTAAAAGCAAACAAGTAACACTAATTGTAGCTATATGAAATCCACACAAGATTGGTGACATTTTGCTATGATGTCCACTAGCGCTAAGACCTAATTAAAAAGATACTGATTTTCCACTGTACTTATAATGCATTTAACAATCCATATTCTAGGATATTGACAAGTTAAGTACGAATATAAATTAAATTCTAGAAGACTCAGGACAGAAGACAATCAAACAGAACTCCAATACTAATTTAATTCACTATAGCCAATATTATTATTAAGCATTTATATTGCAGTAGCACCTAGAGGCCTCAAGTAGTTTGGGGCGCACTGTGCCAGACACTGTAAAAAAAACAGTCACTACCCCAAATTGCGTACAACCTAAAAAATAAACTTAGATCCTATTGGATAGTTATTTATCTACAGTACTATTAGCCTTGTTTAGCTGCATCACGATTTCCCTTTAATTTCTTATTTGATATATAGCAGTATTAATGACTGAGAAATGTATGGGGCTGCAATATTCTTTTTTAATTACCTGTTAGCACTGTATCTTCATATCCTCATTCCAGGTCTTAAAGGAGGAAAGGTAGAAAAATAAGATATTCTAAACCCCTTAAACATAGCCAGAGAAGTCTTGCTAGACTATTAATTTTACTTCAATGCCTTACATTTTTGCTTCTCTATAAAGTTAGGATGATGTCATTCAAAAGGTTGTTTCTCCTTCTCCTCAGCAGCCTAAAGAAAAGTAGTCCCTAAAGTGTTTATAGGGCTGTGATGCCAAACAAAGAGATAAGATTCTCTCAGTTCAGTTGCTCTTGAACTGTCTACATAACTCTCAACTTTTCAGGTAGGCAACCCCTTATTTGAAGTCAAACATTTGCATGACCCCCTTACATTTACTACAAAAGAAAGAGTAAAAGATGTATCCATAACAACAATGGTAATCATATACCATTTGTGTGTGCTTTGAGAGGCTGACAGAATATGTGACCTTGAAAGAAAAGAGTTTGTGGAGACTGGGGATTGCTTTAAATTAATTTTTCAAGGCCTCACAATCCTCCTAATTGCCTTTCATGACCCCCCAGAAGGTCACAATCCACTGATTCTGAACGGTATTGACAGGCAGGAAATTTTAAATACTACGGGTAGTGATCAATGGCTCCATGTCTAGTTGGCAGCCGGTATCAAGCAGAGTGCCCCAAGGGTCGGTCCTGAGGCCGGTTTTGTTCAATATCTTCATTAATGATCTAGAGGATGGTGTAGACTGCACCCTCAGCAAGTTTGCAGATGAAATTAAACTGGGAGGAGTGGTAGATACGCTGGAGGGTAGGGATAGGATACAGAGGGACCTAGACAAATTAGAGGATTGGGCCAAAAGAAATCTGATGAGGTTCAACAAGGACAAGTGCAGAGTCCTGCACTTAGGACGGAAGAATCCCATGCACTGCTACAGACTAGGGCATGGGTAGCAACCTATGGCACACGTGCCGAAGGCGGCACGCGAGCTGATTTTCAGTGGCACTCACACTGCCCAGGTTCTGGGGGCTCTGCATTTTAATTTAATTTTAAATGAAGCTTCTTAAACATTTTAAAAACCTTATTTACTTTACATACAACAATAGTTTAGTTATATATTACAGACTTATAGAAAGAGACCTTCTAAAAACATTAAAATGTATTACTGGCACGCGAAACCTTAAATTAGAGTGAATAAATGAAGACTCGGCACATCACTTCTGAAAGGTTGCCGACCCCTGGACTAGGGACTGAATGGCTAGGCAGCAGTTCTGCAGAAAAGGACCTAGAGGTTACAGTGGACGAGAAGCTGGATACGAGTCAACAGTGTGCCCTTGTTGTCAAGAAGGCTAACGGCATTTTGGGCTGTATAAGTAGGGGCATTGTCAGCAAATGGAGGGATGTGATTGTTCCCCTCTATTCGACATTGGTGAGGCCTCATCTGGAGTATTGTGTCAGTTTTGGGCCCCACACTACAAGAAAGATGTGGAAAAATTGGAAAGAGTCCAGCGGAGGGCAACAAAAATGATTAGGGGGCTGGAGCACATGACTTATGAGGAGAGGCTGGGGGAACTGGGATTGTTTAGTCTACAGAAGAGAAGAATGAGGGGGGATTTGATAGCTGCTTTCAACTACCTGAAAGGGGGTTCCAAAGAGGATGGATCTAGACTGTTCTCAGTGGTACCAGATGACAGAACAAGGAGTAATGGTCTCAAGTTGCAGTGGGCGAGGTTTAGGTTGGATAGTAGGAAAAACTTTTTCACTAGGAGGGTGGTGAAGCACTGGAATGGGTTACCTAGGAAGGTGGTGGAATCTCCTTCCTTAGAAGTTTTTAAGGTCAGGCTTGACAAAGCCCTGTCTGGGATGATTTAGTTGGGGATTGGTCCTGCTTTGAGCAGGGGGTTGGACTAGATGACCTCCTGAGGTCCCTTCCAACCCTGATATTCTATGAAAGACTTTTTTTTTTTTTTTTTTTACACACATTTATGTATATAATTACCAGGACATGTGACACTAATATTATCATAATGCCCATAACATGCTGCAGTGTGTGTCTGCTTCAGACATTCCATTTCTTTTGTAAAAGCCACAAAGTACAGTATATTATGGGCATTATGATGCTCTTTGTCATTATAAAACTAAGTGTAACGGGAGCATACATTACAAACCCACTCATTTTCATTGTGAAGTTCTAGTAACAAGAACAAAAGATGCAAGTGTTATTAGAATACCTCTTTTTTTTAAAAAAGACAGCTTTATAATGACCTATGGTGCTTTTAAAGAAAGTTTATTCCACATGTACATACACATTGAGAGAAGATGCCTTGCTATGTATGTACAACTCCCCATTAATATTGCTGTTAATATAAAAATAATTATTCAAGAACTTACGCCCTAAATCCTGCAGAAACTTACACATACGCTTAACTTTGGACTACTGCTAGGTTTGACTTCAGTGGAACTACCCAGAGGCTTAAAGTAATGAATATGCTCGTGTTAGGAGGATTAGGGTCTTAAATAATACTTTTCATCTACAGATATTAAAGCACTTTACAAAGGTAAGACAGAGAAAACAAGGTAAAAAGAAAAGTTAAGTGACTTGTACAAGGTCACAGAGTCAGTGATGTGTCAGAGCTGAGAATAGAAGAGCAGTCTCCTGATTGTCAGTCCTGTGCACAAAACACACACCAAAGGTGGAGCGGACAAGAGAGCATTCATTCATCTTGTGCACATTAAAGCTCACCGATTTGTCCTTCCATTCCAGGCTTGGGAATGCTGATGGAAGTTCGAGTCTCTGTTTCCAGTCTCTTCCTGGTTTCTCCTTTTTTCCCAATGATATACCTACAGACATACAAATACTATACTGTCATGCACAAAAATGTCACTATTTTATTTTTCTAGGCAGGGTTTGGTTGCTTTATTCTTTTCTTTCTTGGGGGTAGAAGGGGGAAACTACCATATCATTCAGCCACCAAAGAGAACATGTAGCAGAGACCTAGAAAACATGTAGCAAAGGAACACAATTCAGCATAGTCATTTTAACCATCCATACATACTGAAATAAAAAATTGTGTATATAATTGTAATATAACCATTCTTTAAAAATTGGCAAATATTACTGGACAAAGCTGTCATATCAGCTAAATACTTCCAAGCATATGTCTATACTTCTAGCTGGGGTGCAGTTCCCAAGTTGAGGAGGCATACCTGCACTAACTCTGAGCAAGCTAGTGTACTAAAAATGGAGTGCAGCCACAGCAGTGTGAACCCCTCCTACTGTTCACACTATTGTGCCTACACTCCATTTTCTGGGGACGTCTCCTCCAGCTGGGAATCACACCTCCAGTTCAAAGTATGGACATACCCTAAGTGAACATTAAATTATTTCACTTCAAATATTCAATTAGCAAAACACTGCAATCTTGAATGTGCCTTTTCACAAAGTGTTCACAGCTTCCCTTGGCCTGGCTGCTTACCTCAGTCTCTCCCCACATTGTTCCATCTTCCTGGCTTGCTTTCACGTCCTGAAGAGCAGATGCTCAAAAAACTGCTATCAGCAAGAAAGCACAAGATACAGTTGCCACCATGGTGAGAGCCAAGTGCCAAATGTGAAACGGATACATTGGAAAGGGATCCACACCCCTTTCCCCCACACAAATACAGAGCTCTCCACAAAATGGAAATTATTTGAGAAGTCTAGAATCTATAGCTGCCTCTGAGAATCCAACTTCCCTGACAGATTCATCTGTAAAAGAGGATTCAAATAAAACAACATGTAGGCTCACTTGTATAGTGGGCTGGGAACCTCCACTGCACACTGGAAACCTCTCTCAGTCTCTTCCACCATGAAGGCATCACAAGGCTCATCTGTAGGATCCCCAGGGCCTATAAAGTAGAAAATCAAACTGTTCTATAAAGGTTGACAGTGTTTCATGTGATGCAACATTCTCACCGGCTTTCTTCTCCCAAGGTTAAATAAAAGAACAAAGTGGCTCCTTCTGTCACAGTTGCGGCTTTTATTTTACCTTACTACCTGCTCAGAAAAACATCATGACACTACTTTTAAATCTTCCATTCTTGGAGGGTTAAAAAAGTAGCAGTTTCAGCCCGCTACAGAACAGTTTTTCTCTTGGTTGCAATTGCAAAATAGCCCAGTGGCCCAACAGGGTTTTTTTAAAGAATTGTTCTGCCTGTTGAGCGGTAGCCCACTGGCCTTTTGCCCTTTTCAGAGAACTAAGTATCAGAGGATCTAAAGACCCACCTCTCACCCATGGACCACTTAGTCATGTTTGTTTTTCAACCAAACCTGGTTAGCTCAATGTGAGCAGGGGTGGGTTCGGGTGGCAAGAAGTTTATTAGAATTTGCCCAGTTCTTTCAATCTTTTCTATTTGAAAAAAATGGTGGATGTTTACCAGATATTCTTGGGCTTTTCTATATTTACAAGGACCCACATAAACATTACCTAATATGGTACACATACAGGTGAGTACACCAAAATAGAAAAGGAACAGTTAGCCATGTAAATAGGTGATATCTTTCAAAATCCACATCAGATGGCCACAAGACGACACCCATTTAAGGGCCAATATCGAAAGGTCCTGAGCATTTCCAAGGAGGTGCTAAATGACCTCAACTCCTATTAACTCTGAGATTAAACTCACTGTGGAAAATACCAAGAACAATGCACAAATAGGGAAAAAATATTCTCTACAAACTCTTAACATTTTTACTGATCATTTTAAATAAAAGATTTTTTTTTAAACACAGATAACATTGTTTTGCTGAATTTTTCAATCAACAAATTAACTGATAGCCAGCAACCCACGGCAAATTCACTATCACCTAAGCCAACACTTTGTAACCAGAATTTACTCTGCGCCTCGGCCAGGACTGCTAGAGAACAATGCAAAGTGTTTCTTCACTCAAAAGACTACATCCCCACTCCTGCAATAAGGGCAGACCCCTGTGCCCACAAGGAGCTCTTCATAGGCTCAGAGTCTGAGTTTGCTAACTCCCTGTAAGTCTTGAATGCTAATTCCCCACTTTGCAATATATTATATTAATACTAGATTGGGCCCCTGCATATTAGGTTTTACCTGCATAGAAATCATCCTCTTCTTCATTTGGATAGGACTGTTGTCGAATAATATTTTTCCTATAAATGCGCCCTCCAATCCTTATAAGTGTTGGACGCAGAACTTCCATTGTGCTCTTCCTGCCAATGATGGCACCCTACTGAAATAAAAATAATTCTGCTGACATCTCCCTAGAAATTGTAAATTCCTAGGTTTCCTATATGTACTTTCTAAGAGGTTATCATGGAGGCATCTGTAGAGACTCTGTAGTTAAGGCTGAGTTTTACACTTAAAACAAGGGATTCATCCTTTTTGTTACATATGAATAATACAGCAATAATGTTTCTTCCCCAATATTACAGCACATTAATTTCTTACTGAAAGACTGTTTTCTGAGAATTTACAAGTAGTCTTAATTAGAAACTGAGAAATTTAAGCAAACTTTAAGAAATATAAGTGTAAGAGATTTAGCTCCCAGCACCAGCCTTTTTTTTTTTGGTCCCTAATGATCAACCACAAACTCTTTGAAATTCACGTGTTATAATTAAAAACTCACAGAAATGTTGTGCATATACTACACATTTTAAATTATTTTTTAGGATTGGCAGTCAATTTTCCGACATTTTTCATAACTGAAATTTTCTCCTTCAGCAGAGGCTGAAAAATACAATAGTCTACTACAGAGAATTCTGCACAGAACTGCCTTTTTTCAAAAGCACTGCCATTTCCCATTGTTCTCAAAAGGAGCAAAGCCACAGAAGTCTCTCTCTTGCTGTTATCAATGGGCCTGTCTCTGCCTCCTCACAGCACAGAAAGCCTCCATCTTCCCTGATGGCCGCTGTGGCTTCAGGGTGATTGAGAGCAATAGGAGATGACGGCCATTTTAAAAGAGGACAATTCTTCCTGACAGATAAACTTCTGGTTATGAAAAACAACAACAAAAATGACCTTTGATCCTAAATATCTTTTCAAAAGCAACCCATTGCACCAGATCTACTCAACAGTTTCCCCCTATTTCCTGGCCTAAGTTCTATGTGTGCGAGAGCAAGAGGAAGAGGGAGTTTTGGAGGGCATGAGGAAGAAAGTGATGAGTACATTTGCAGCTGTTTTGCACTACGCTGGCAAAACAAAGCAGCTGCAAACTCAGGTTAACTACGCAAAATACTTTAGCTGTTCTGTGCTGCTCCAGAGTGAGATAAAGCAGCCACTGTGTATCTATATCTGGTAAAAGTTCAAAATTAAAAAATATATATGTATGTGTGAAACTGCAGATCTTCAAATCATTAAAAATATTACATGGTAACATACTCTGAGTATCTTACTTAGAGTCCCTGTAGGAAATTTTTAATTAAAAAAAAAAAAAAAAAAAAAAAAAAAGGAAATTCCCTGACAAAAAGCTATGTTAAAACAGAGTTAAGATTGAAATACAAATCAAAAAATTTTAGATATATTGTAATTATCCAAAAGTCAGCCATTATACACCTGGGATAGGAAATTGAGTTAAATTTAAAAATAAACCTAAATATATGAAGGTATATAAACAAACAGTTGAGGCACCCAAACTTTAACTTTGGCCTGTCACAGTCTTCAAACTCCCATCTAATTAGAACTTATTGAAAACTTGTGTACAGTATAGGCCAGAGGTGGGGAAACTACGGCCCGCGGGCCCCCAAGCTCCTGGCCCCGGAGGCTAGCCCCGGCCCCTCCCCCGCTGTACCCCCTCTCCCACAGCCTTAGCTCGCTCGCTCCGCTGCCGCGCAATGCTCTGGGTGGGGGGCTGTGAACTGGGGCAGCGCAGCTGCACAGCCTGGCCTGACCCAGTCTCTGGCCTGCGTGGTGATGGCGGCAGCAGCGTGGCCCGGCTCCAGCCGGGTGGCACGGTTGTAGCGCCGCCAGCCACCAGTGCTCCAGGCAGCACGGTAAGGGGGCACGGAGCAGGGGGGGTTGGATAGAGGGCAGGGGAGTTCGGGGTGATGGTCAGGGGTGTGGATAGGGGTCAGGGCAGTCGGGAGGGAACAGGGGGTTGAATGGGGGGGGGGGTCCGGGGGGGGGCAGTCAGGGTGTGTGTGGAGGGGGCAGCCAGGGGCCAGGGATTCCAGGGGCAGTCAGGGGACAGGCAGAAGGGGTGATTGGATGGGACAGGGATCCCGAGGGGGGGGGGAGCGTCAGGAATGAGAGGAGGGATTGGATGGGGCAGCAGGCGTCCGGGGGCGGTCAGGGGACAGGGAGCAGGGGTGTGTGGATGGGGCAGGGGTCCCAGGGGGGGCCATCAGGGAACAGGGGGGGCTAGATGGGGCAGGAGGCCCGGGGGGTGGCAGATAGGAGGTGGGGGCCGGGCCACGACCCCCTCCCCTAACCGGCCCTCCGTACAATTTAAAAAACCCAATGCGGCCCTCAGGCCAAAAAGTTTGCCCACCCCGGTATAGGCAAAGATTGAATTTCATTCCCTCCTCCCATTAATCTTCATAACCGAGAGTTTCTCCTTTATCAGAAATGCCCGGAGCAAGTGAAGGACCCGCCCCTGAAGTCCCGGACCGCCGCCGGGTGAGTAAAAATTAAAAAGGCACCTAAGTTAGGCGCTCTTCTTTAGGGCGCAGGGCCCTCTTAGGCGCGGGGCCCGATTCGGGGAATCGGCCCTGGCAGAAACCTTAACTCTGCATTATGATGACACTATGAAGGAAAAAAACCTGTCTCTGTTTAAAAAAAAAAAAAAAATCTGTTTAATCTAATCTAGGTCAACAAATATTTTGTCACCAGTCTCACCACCTATAATGCTTTCCTTAAAACTCCAGGTTCTAGAGGTAATTATGTAATAATCTCAGTTTTTATCTAAAGAAAAAAAAGTAAGTTCCTTCCTAGTTCTTGTGGTTGTAGGGTAAAAGCTTGAAAATGCTAAGCAAGGGCACCCTAAAAGCCCCAAAACCAGAAGACAAAAAAGAACAAAGCTTTTTTACTTTGATGGGTGTTTTTCATTATTTTAAAGCCAATTTTGTTATATTTGAGTTGAGTTGTGATTTTTTTAATATGTGAGGCTGACAAAATTGCATTAGTGCAGGAATCTGTGCTCACAAAACCTGATGCAGGACTGAGGCCTAGATAGGGTGACCAGACAGCAAGTGTGAAAAATCAGCACAGGGGGTTGGGGGTAATAGGAGCCTATATAAGAAAAAGACCCAAAAATCAGGACTGTCCCTATAAAATCGGGACATATGGTCACCCTTGGCCTAGATTATATGCTACAAAGAAGCAGTGGCAAAACAATAATGGGGTGGCGGAGACGAAACAGTGGGTTGTGGACACAGTAACAAGGTTACAGAATAAGGCCCGGCTCCCGCAAGATGCAGCGTGTGGAATGACGGGTGCAACGCCACAGCAGTGCATGGCTGGCTACCCCCGTGACGTGTTTGTTGCCTGGGAGCCACTGGCCTGAATCCTACAATGACACCCCCACCCGTGTCAGGCCCCTTAGGCCTTAGTCCCGCACACACTGACAAAGGCGGGGAGCCGCCGGCCTACTCCCGCGCGCAGCTACGCGGGGCCCTAGCAGGAGCTTGGCGTTTGTTGGTTTTGCAGAGAGAAGAGGGGAAGCGAAGCGCCCCTCCCATGTGTTGCTTTTGAAGCCCCGCCGTGACGCTCCGGGCCGGCCTGCTGGCGGCACTGCAGCCGCTGCACGCGGCACTCACCTGCGTCGGCAGGGGCTGCAGAGCGGGCCAGGGCCTAGAGTGACGGCCCCGGGAGAGGGGCAGCGGCCCTGCCCGTGAGGCGGGCGGGCGAGCGGCTCACCGGCACTTAACGGAGACAGGCGCCAACCTACCCCCGGGCGCTGCGGTCCCGGGGCGGGCCGGCCTCCGCCTACCACACACCGGCCTCGCTCAAACTCAAAGCCCCACCAGCTGCTCCAGGCCAGGGGCGGGGCCCCGCCCGCCAGAGGCCCGCAGCGTTGCAGGGGGCGGGGCCGTGCGTGCTCGCGCCCGCCCAGCATGTAGCGCGCACGCGCGCACTCAGGCCGCCTTCGCCACGCCAAGCCGGCCGGGCACCAGGTGAGGCTGCGGGGTGAGGGCGGCCGGAGCGAGGGGGCGATCTGGGCCCGGTCTTAGCCACCTCATCACCGGGGCGCCGTCGGGTAGGGAGGAGTAGGTGGCAGTTTTAGGGGGAGAGCGTTACCCCACCCGACAGAAGCTAGCTGCTGCTCAGCGCATGCGTTGTGTTGCTGTAGCTGATCCTGCGCGTGCGCAGTAGCCATTTGGAAACTGCTGCCGCCGATATTCTTCTGGCATAGCCGGGGTGAGCTCGCCTGGGATCCCCCCAGCACGCTCCCGCTCCATCACTAGCGGCGTTGGGGGGGGGGGGGGCCCCCCCCCCCCCGTTGTTCCGCCGGCCACGGGGCAGTCTCCCTGGCAACCAGCCCGTTCCACAGCCGCCGCAGGGAGGGCTAGGCCCAGCCCCAGTACCGGGTCCCGACCCCGCTTCCACCGCGCCCAAGGAACCCGCCCCCGTTCCTTGGGGCTCTCAGTCCAGCCCTCCCCGCCCCCCGGCGGTACTGGTTGAGGGAAGCAGGGAGGGTCGCCTCAACCCAGCAGTGGTTGCGCGGAGGCAGATGACCCACAGAAATGCTTGCGGGTGAAGGATGTACAGACACCTGGGCCGAGAGAAAATGAGAAACATTCGCTCAGCCATGATGTGGAGGGAAAAGAGACACCAAGCACTGCGCGGGGGCTGCCAAATATCCACCTAGACCAAGGTCTCTGGCAATCCCTACACACACTACCTTCATCTCCTGGGTGGTTTCCTGCTTCCCTATTGACCTTCCCTCTTCCACTAATTCACTGACATCATAATCTTCCCACTATGAGAGAGTCCGTTAATGTGCAGTGAGGGATGTCTCTGCACTAGGGATGCCGGACTCTCTCTAGGAAGAGGAGCTGTGAACGAGGTACGAGTTAGGGGCAGTGCCACCCTCGATCCTCTGTCAAGCTCCCACTGATGTCAAGAGGAGTTTTATGCAAACATTAAACATAGTACAATATAGGTGTAACATTTTAGACAGTAATGTTACCTTGCATTTTCTCTCACCTTGAAGGAGATTATTTGCCCCAAAATTAGCACCATGGTTGCTGCTTCTCTGTTTTTTACCCCCCTGTCATCTCTTCTCTATTTTTCTCCCATATGTATTTTCTTCCTCCTGTTTTCTCTCTCTCCCGCTTATCTGCTCTTTGCTCTCTTCCTTTTTTGTACTTTCCCACATTCTCCTTCCCCCATTTTTATGCACCTTTGTTTTTCTCCTGCATCAAAGTTTAAATACAGAGCCTGCTACTATAAATTAGGAGTGGCTAGGTTTGTGGGATCCTAGTTAGTTTCCTTTCCAGGTGCAGATAGACTCAGAAGGAAACTCACTAACCCTCATCAATTTCTTTCTCCTCAAGCTCAGAAGCTCTTTATGCCATATGATTAGGACCCAGATCCTCAAAGTATTTACTCTTCTAACTTCCTAAATGGCCTAAATACCGTTGAGGACCTGGGCTTTCCATGCAACCATGAACAGTTTCTCTTTGTAGCCAGCTTTGTGTTCAAAACATGGAACTGCTGATGAATCAGCATCTATTCCCAAAAAGCTGAGCTGAAATGTAATTTTAAATGGGTATGCAGAGTGGATGAATAATTGCTCCCGCTTTGTGCTTGACATCCAGCTTTCCTGGGTTTCAAGAGGGAAGTTCTGAATTGGTAATGAATAAGGAAGTGAGTGAAGGGATAGAATGAGGATGGTATAGGTCCTATAAGGATAATGGGCCAGGCAAGCGAGGAGTCGGTAGCCTTAGGAGAAGAGAGAGAACACAGTTATAACCCAACAGTGTTCATCTTGGGTTCTGTAGCTGTGCTTCTATTGTTCCCATAGTGTAGACATCACCAAAGGAAAATTTAAAGGATGGATGAGAAATTATAGTGGGTAATAAAAACAAAAAACACTTCAGTGTCTAAATGGAAAAGGATAAAGGTCAAATGCCCGATCAAAATATATTTAAGCAGTTCTGTTATGCTGAAAGAATAAGGAAGGTGAGTGTTAAAGGCAGGGTGGGAGGTGTATATGTGAGGAGTTAGTGATCAGATGGCAGACTGCTAAATGGCCAGAAGGATTCCCAACCATTATTATTGTCAAATGCAATTTAAAAACAAAAAGATAAAACACAAAAAGCACATTTAGGAGCAAAGTGCAGCAGAGGAGTCAAGACCCTTTTAAAGACCATAGCATTTCTTCACACAGAGTGATGTGAGGAGGGTGCAGTCCTGTGGCTCTCTAGAATGTTTTGTGGGTTTTTTGCACAACTGGGGAGTGAGACTTTCTCTTCATGTTTGTGGGGTGGTGGAAAAAAGTATCTGCAGAAGTTGAATCAAGTTTAATCTTCTGTACTGAATTAGTTATGCATACTCTGTTCCTACTCGTATTTCCATTTTGCCAAGGCATTTGAGCATTATTTTCTTTTTATTTTGTGTGCCACCAAGTGGTAAAATTGTGAACTGCATTTTGTACTAAAATACATGTAAGAAATCTGGTTTCAGAGTAGCAGCCGTGTTAGTCTGTATCCACAAAAAGAATAGGAGTACTTGTGGCACCTTAGAGACTAACAAATTTATTAGAGCATAAGCTTTTGTGGGCTACACACTTCTTCGGATGCATATAGAGCATATATGCATCCGAAGAAGCGGGTTGTAGCCCACGAAAGCTTATGCTCTAATAAATTTGTTAGTCTCTAAGGTGCTGTAAGAAATCTGGTGTAGTTTGAACATAGCCACAATATGGCCCTCAAATATCAGTTCTTCCTAGGGTGCAGAGCTCCACTTAGAAAATAATATTTACTTTTTCAGTGAAAAAAGATAGCTAATAAAGGCCAGTAGTTCTCAGCCATGCAGTTACTTGTTTTATAATACCATGGTCTAGAATCTTAGCCACTGAACTTGCTCCCTGTGGACCTTACTTGTGATCTATAACGCCCTGCAATCAGACAACCAATGATGCCAAGTATTGTGGTGGACTTGAGATGTGGAAGACTAAGATAGGAATCACCAAACAAATTTTCACCGATGAATGTGAGTCAGTTTGTACCCAGGTCTCTGAAGGCAAAAAGATGTGTTGAGTTAGCAAAAATTAGTTAGAGAAGGAAAAGGTAACATTTTCTCTGTTGCCTTTAGGTTAAAGGGAGAAATGGCAGCCTCCTCTTCATCGTCTTCAGCTGGCGGAGTCAGTGGAAGCTCTGTAACTGGATCTGGATTCAGTGTCTCGGAACTTGCCCCACCACGGAAAGCCCTCTTTACATACCCCAAAGGAGCTGGAGAAATGTTAGAAGGTGATTGCTGTGTTTCACATTTTGCTGTCAATAAACTATTGTTGATACAGTTTACAGAATATATAAAAAGTTAGGATCCTTAATGTCATTTTAGGCACAAAGCAGCCAAAGGATTTAATTGTAAAGGGAAGGAGATCTGGGTAGGCGGATACTAGGTCTCTCTGCTTTCTGTATATCCCTGCCACCATGTTCTTTCCTTCATTCCTAAAATTATGATAAATTATCTACCCCTATTTATCTCAAACTTTAAAATGGCATAGGATTGTTTTTCCTTCCTATGTTCAAAAAAATTATCTAAACAGTCTGATTTTTAGACCCATAAAAACAAAAATCTCAGACTTCACAGGAAGCATGGCAGCAGTTGGGACAGGAAAGACTGCATCTGACAAAGTGAGAGCATGACTATGTCAGCTTCTTATTGCTAGCTACTTCTTTGGTGTCATAACTGAAAATTACTATAGAGATGACTGATGGGGTTATATTATTCTTTGGCAAATCCTCTTCTATTTAGGTTCATAGGGTCAGATTCATGGCTGTGCCAGCGCAGAAACAGAAGGCAAGGCAGCTTGTGCCTCCAATACTCAGGGACCAAGATGGCCTATTTAGGCCGCAGCATAGACTAGGGTAGCACTGAGGGCTAAGGCTAACTTGCACCCCTGCTCCAGTGGGCCATGCAGTTGTGAAGGTTGCTTCCACCATCCTGTGCCTTCCCGGGCCCCTGTGCCCATGCAGGGCAAAGAGGACTTGCAGAGGTGGCATACAGGGCCTCTGTGATGGTGGGGCAAATGTGTGCCATATGGCCATTTTGCATCAGCTTACCTTATGCAACAGGGCTGTAGCACAAAGATGGATCTGGCCTATGGGACTCTTTTCAGATTGCTGAATAATGGGCAAATTCATCCCTGCTGTTACTGAAGTCAGTGGAGTTAGAGCACGGATGAACTTGGCCTTACATGTTTCATTTGAGTATCTGAAATGCCATTGCATTTGTCTAAAATCTAATCATAATTTAGATCTAATCATCTAATCTCCAGTTAGATATGAGTGTGTGCTCTTATGATATATGCAGGTTAGAAAACTGCTTCCATTTTCCTAGTGTTGGGCATTTGACCGGTTCAAAAATAATTGGTCAGTTAACCGGTCAAATATTTTAAGGCTCTAATTTATTAGAGCAATAACAAAAAAGAGTAAGATTTTATGCTGTCCTATAGGCCTAGCCCTAGATAAATACATATGCCTAATTACAAAAAAGTTACTTACCTGAGTTATTTTAACTCAGAAAAATGCAAAACACAATTAAAGTTCTAAAAAAATGAATAATTACTATTACCTTTTTAGCAATATTATGTTAACATTTAAATGTGAACATTATTCAAGACTGAACAGTTACAAAAGAAAAGAAAAATGAAATTAAGCAGAAATAAACATATAGCAACTATAAAAGAAAAAAGTCATTTGTAAATGCACCTATGCTAGGTAGGCAACAGGTCAACGCTTCAAGCAGCTTAATGGCTAAGAATCTATTCTCTTTGTGTTGGGTGAGGCAGTTCAATGCCTGTGAATCT